ACTAAAAGATTCGTTTGGTTTTTTCCAGGGAAATCAGCCATTATTTTCTCTACCATGTGAGTTAATAGTAAGCTGTGTTTCTGCACAGACGCTCAGAGCAGAAAAGTCAGCAGATAACAGTAATTGAAACTGCTCTCTCAGCCCTGCATTTACGACCACGCTTCCTGACACCCTGGTCTATTCTGACACGATAACTAATAGCAGCACAAACCAGCAGGAGGGTGGGAGAGGAGGCGGTACCTTGTCCAGCAGTGCGTTCTGCCACAGGCGGAAAATCATCATGTAGCTGCGATCTCTTGCACCAAAAGATGTGAAGAAATGCTGAGAGGGTGATTATCAACGGAACAGGAAGGAGGGGAGGAAGAAAAGGAGGGAGAGAGAACAAAAATGTGAGACCAGGTTTGACGGACGGTTTCCCCCCGTTTGCCTCGTCACGGCCGGTGAAGATCGAGCCGAGTCAGCTCGTTTCATAACGCTTCTCTAACAGATTGAAGTGAACCGTATCAACAGCTGACACTATCAACGGTTAAACCGCTGCAGAATGCACTCGTAAATCAAAGCGTCTCTTTTATTATTCGTCTTTGGCTCTGACCTTCTCGTTGTCAGTGCTGATCTGGATGGCATTTGGGATGAGCTTGGCAGTCTTCTCCTTGGTCATAGAGGTAACGTCCTTCAGCAGGATGGTGATCTGAACCAACGAGCAGAGAGGAGAAAGCGTTACAGCGTGCGCCGCTCTTATCTCGCAGAGACCGTCTTTATTGATCTGCAAACTTCACTCTTATCAGATTGCAGGTGTGACATTAATTAATTAGTTTGCAGAAGGTGTGCGCCAGTGTACACAGTGGAGCTTACAGTGGTTTCCCAGCGGAAGATGTTACTGTAGAAACACAGCCAATTCTCTGACAGATAAAGGCGTCCCTGAAGCAGAATATCCTTCTGCAGAGCGCAGGAGTAGTCTGAGAAAAGACAGACGGAGATAAATGTCAAAAACAGACATCGCTGCCACAGATGAATGTCAGACAGGTTGTAAACACCACTTGGCTTTTAGCAGTGGGGCTGGTGGGCAGAGAAAAATGACTGAAACTCTTACAGAGAGTCTACGGCATCATTATGGCATCAGCCTGCGGCCCAGCAGGACCGATGATGCAGCAAACAACACTCACAAGCCCTTTTCCATTAGTACCTACACGGCTCGACTCGCCACGGGTCGCCACAGTTCTCACGGTTCTCCCATTAGGCACCGGGTCCTGTGACCTTTAGTATCTGCTTTCCCGGGATTCCAAGCGAGCAGGTACTAAATTATGACATCATCAGATTGCATGCCACCGATTGGCTG